GAATCGATAGACTGCACGAATGGTATGCACTGCCAACGCATTACGATTCTGTATATAGCTATGGCTATAGTCTGTATTCTGACATATATTTAATACAATCTTCGCTTCAATCTTCATTTTAATCAAAAGCTATCCCATAAGTGGCGTAACCATTCACTATGCTGTCAAGAATAGTGGCTAATGTCATAACCACTAATCATTGAATATATTGACTGGATATACATAAAAATTAAGACTAATATTCAATGAATACTTATAAAATGATTCATGAATGAGTGTATTAATAGTCTAATTGAGTGTCAGATTCCGCCACTTATTGCCTACAATTCCTATCGATTCCTTAAATACCTACAGAATCCGCAGAATTTGCTATAACTTATGGTTATTACGGGAAAGTGTTCACAGAATACGTTCTCTATATTCTGAACGGGATTTTCACTCATTAACCTCAAACGTGTAGTAAACTTCACAAATAGGGCACAATTATTATAAAATATTGTTTGACATTATTTATGGATATTTACACTTTAGTGGCGGATCACTACTATGAAGTGATTTCGCCAAAAAAAAGTAATTTATTATTTTGGTTGAGTTTGTGAATAAATTTATTTTTTATTTCCAAATGTAACCGCAAATCGTTAAACATTTTCATTGAATTAAATGCAATTAAATATAATAATTACAATAAAAAGCGGCAAAACAATTCACACCTAATAATCGATACTTTTCTACGTACAAAGTTTACCACATTTTCAATGCGCTATCATTGCCGCAAAAGGTACCAAACCATCGACTCGTAAGTGACGGATCCCGTACTGAGTGGTAATTCACGTGCTTTTCAGTGAACGCATTGTTTTGAACGAGAAATATGTGTTGATTTCGTGGACCAAATCCAGTGATAATAACCACCGCCGCAGACACCGACCGACAGACACAGACACACAGGATGTCCATCAATGGCTCCAAACTGGAGGACGGCTTCTACAGCGACGCCAAAGACTACTGGAGTGGCGTCGAGCCCACTGTGAAGGGAATGTTAGGCGGATTCACTCGTATCACATCCGTGGACATCAAGGCGT